CCGCGTCGTCGTCGAGCGCCGACATCAGGCGATCCACCTCCTCCTTGTGGGGAGCCCACAGAATATGTACGCGCCCAACCATGTACATGAACACGGCCCCTCGATCTGCGAGACCGTCCGCCGGATACGCACACTCGCGCAATGCACGCTCTCGAAACCAACGTGGATTCATGTACAAGTCGTTCATTCCTAATCGTGCTCATTTCTCATTGTGCTCGTTTCTAGTTGTTCCTGGCCCCCTAGTGGCCAGGAAGAGGCCCAGGAAAAGAACAATTCGAAATGCAAGGATCTTGGCCCCCAAAGAATCAAAGAACTTTCGAATACTTAGAAGCGAGCAGTGCGCACGTGTACGTCCTTCTTTCGCTCCTCCTCCTGGGCGGGCAGGGAGCGGCTGCGCCGCCCCAGTCTCTCCCGAGGGCCCACTGAAGTCTCTCGCGGGTCGGCGCTTCGACCCCCCTCCCCGCGCACCTCCCCCAATGCGCCCCGCTCCGGGAGGAAGAGGGCGGAGGGAGGAGGGAGGAGGGAGGAGGGAGGAGGAGGAGGAGGAGGAGGAGGAGGAGGAGGAGGAGGAGGGGAGGAGGAGGAGGGAGGAGGAGGGAGGAGGAGGGAGGAGGAGTAGGAGGAGGAGGAGGAGGGATGAGGAGGAGGAGGAGGAGGATGAGGAGGAGGAGGGAGGAGGAGGAGGAGGAGGAGGAGGACGAGGAGGAGGAGGGCGGGCCCAGCCCCATCCCCGGAGACCCGCGGGCCCCCGAGAGGCACCGCTCACGCAGCGGGGGGCCCAGATCCGCGAGGTGACGGACGGCACGGCGACCCCCCCCCCCCAGACGTGCTCGCGTCCGTGACAGAAATCAGGACGGGAAGCTTTTCGCCGGTCTGGGCCTCTGGAAGCCCCTTGCCAAGCCTCGGGGGCGTCAAAAAACGACTCGGGATGCAAAGCCGGTCCCGGGGAAAAGGTCGGGACTTCTGGGGACTCCGCACGGGAAGAATCGGGACGTCGTACGTCTGGTTCGTCCCCTCGGGATAATCAGGACGTCGCATGTCTGGGTCTCGCCCTCGGAATCCCTGCTTCCCTCGTGATGGCTCATACACAAAAGGCGTCTATACACCACGCCTGGCCGGGGCCACCATGGGCCCACGATGGTGTGTAGGCCCTCCAAGCCTCGGCAAGGATGGTCCTGGCCAGTCACGATGGTGGTGGTGGTGTATGGGCGCCCTCTGCGGGTCAGAGCCCCTCTCCCGTAGGCGTTTTTTGTTTGGGGGTCGACATTTGGCCGAAGGATGGGGGAGGGCTGGGGGCTGGGTCTGGGCAGGTGCTTAGTCCATCTGCTTCCACCAAGCGCGCAAGCAGGCTGGGGGGTGGCCCTGGTCAATCATCGCCAAAAACAGTCACCCAAAGGGGCCAACATCTGTTGTGTGGGGGGGGCGTTCCGATCAGCGAAACAATACATAAAAAACGGCGGCCCATCGGGATCTAGGCTTCCCTCATGCTAGATCCTCGAACACCGATCCTCCGATCCTCGATCGACCCTCTCGAACGAATGGTGATGGGGGGTGGCCTCAATGGGGGGTGAAGACAAACGCCCTGAAGGAGCCCTTTAGGGCCCCTTTCTTCACGCCCCATGAAAGTCACCTCCCATGACCACCCGCCCGATCCTCGATCGATCCTCGATCCTCGGGACCCCTGCTTCCCTCACGGTGGCTCAGCCGCCGTCTCCAAACGGGTCGCCCGCCGCCTCCGCGGCGTGGAACGGCCGCGCGGAGGCACGCGGGGGCGTCGAGCGCCCCCCCCAGCAACACACACACACACACACACACGCACACGCACACGCACACGCACACGCACACGCACACGCACACGCACACGCACACGCACACGCACACGCACACACACACACACACACACACACACACACACACACACACACACACACACACACACACACACACACCACACACACACACACACACACACACACACACACACACACACACACACACACACACACACACACACACACACACACACACACACACACACACACACACACACACACACACACACACACACACACTCACACACACACACACACACGCACACACACACAGCACACACGCGTTCAAACACCTAACAACGAAACAAACACGAAACCAACCAACAAACACACAAACAACCAAACAAAGAACCAAACAAACAAACAACTCGTTTTGTACGCGCCCCCTCCTCCACCAGTTCTTCGCTTCGTTGCCGTGTGGATAACTCCTCCCAGTTGCACCCAGAAGCTCGTGGAAAAGGTGGGCTGGGCGGTTCGCCTTCGATTTTTCGTCATTCATAATCCTGAAGCTGAAAGTGTGGAAACCATGTCACACAAGGAAAGCGGGCCGACTCCAATATGTGGTTTTCGCCTGAGCGCCGCGCGCATTCGTCTAAAACGAATTGTAAACATTTGCGGGTTGAGGGCGGGTGGTTTTCAACATGTGGCTGTTGCCGTAGCGCCGGACACACTCGTTCAGAACTGCAAGCGTTTCGCGCACGGATTGAGGGCGGTTCTTTTCCAACGTGTAATTCTCGCCTCAGCGCCGAGCGCACTCGTTTTACAAGAAAGCTTTAACACTTACAGCCTTCACGGGTTCGCATGGCTAGCGTACCAGAAACGGGGTTTCGGAGCGACTCAGGATTGACAAGGCGCAATAGGAATGTTGCTGTACGGTGTTGAAGTCCCAGGAAGGGCGTTCTGGCACGATACAGGCTCCTCCAGGTGCAACAGTTAGGTTGATGCGTGGCGTTGGAGTGCCGCAAATGGTGCTTCGGCGCGCTCCAGGATCTGCATACGGTTGTCTTCCAATGGGGCACTTCCTTCAGTGGAAATGAGGTCTTGTAGCGGCCTGTGAAGAGGAGACTTGAAGGGAGGGTTTATTTCGACATCGTTGATGAATCTTGGGTTTTGGTTTACACTGTTCCTTCCTCCTCCTCCTCCTCCTCCACAGAAGGCGAAGCCAGAACGAAGATACATTCGGGCTAGGATAAATCGAGAATATCTGAGATCATGCGGCTCTGGAGAATGTCGGGCGCCGCGACCTTCTCAGAGCGTTCGGGGACGCTCAGAGAGCGTCCCTGAACGCTCTGGGGCGGATTATATTCTCGTCCTAGCCCCGCCCGACCATTTCCTCCTTCTTGCCCTCCTCTTTCTCCTCCGTTTTGCTTTAGGCAAACCTTGGGGCAGAGCTTGTGGCGTTAAAAATTGTTATCCTTCTTTTTCTCCTCCCCCTCCTCCTCCTCCTCCTCCTCCTCCTCCTCCTCCTCCTCCTCCTCCCCCTCCTCTTCCCCATCCATTTCTTTTCCTCATGCCTGTCGCACCCCAGAGCCAGTCGGAACGGCGGGCCGGGCGTTTCGCCGGACACTTCCTTACCATTTACAAGCCTCAAGGTTAGCAGCTGCAAACATATTCGCAGATGGAGGGCGGGCCCCTTCCACAATGTGGCTTTCGCCACAGCACCGCGCGCATTTACGGATTGGTTTTCAAAATGTGGCTCTCGCCTTAGCGCCGCGCACAGTCGTTTTAAACTTTTTGAAGTGTTTCGCGGATTGAGAGCGGCTCGTTTTCGAAATGCGACTCCCGCTTTAGCACTACGCGCATGTGTCTGAAAACTGCACAAGTTTCGCGAATTGACGCGGTTCGTTTTCAAACCGTGGCTCTCGCCTTAGCGCCGCGGACATTCGTTTTTAATCGTTGCACGAGTTTCACGAATTCAGGGCGGTTCCGTTTCAAAATGGGGCTCTCGCCTTCGCGCCGCGCACATTCGTTTTTATACATTTGCACACATGTCCCTGGTTCCCACGGCTGACGTACCAGAAAGGTGTCTTGGAAATGCGCAGGACTGTCAGGGCGTACCACTTAAGTTGATTACGGCAAGTTCGTGTCGTGTCGACCCCGGCGTCGGTTTCTGACGCCACGTGGATCGTTCAACCTTGAACGATCGGCGGCTTTCCGATCGCCCGATCGTTCCACACAGGCCGATTCTGGGCCTCTGGCGGCGTTCAACCTTGAACGTCCGAGGCGGGGTCGCCGCCGGTCGACACGACGCGAACCTACCGTAGTGGTGTTGAAGTCCCAGGACTGGTGTTCTGGCGTGAGTCAGGGTCGTCAAGACGCAACAGTCAAGTTGATGCGTGGCGTTGGGAACTTGAGAATTGATCTTCAAACGGTTGTCTCCCAACGGGGCCTTTCCCCTGGTGGAAATGAATCCTTGCAGCGGCCTGTGAAGAGGGAGCCTGGAGGGAAGGTATCTTCCAGCATCGTTGATGGGTCTTGGGTTTACTCTGGTCCTCTTCCTCCTCCTACTCCTTCCCGCACGCCCCCAATGCGGGCTGCTCGTCGCGACTGGGCACGGCAGGACTGCCCGGACTTTGCCTCACTGGAGATCCCGAAGCCACGTGGGGACAGACCGCGCAATGACCTCGAAACCCCAAGGGACCTCACCGCGCGGTTCGTCACCGCACGGTCTTGGGACCTCGGAGGCCCCGGTCGGCCGATGCCCCGAAGGTGCACGAAAGGTAGACCTTTCTTCTTTTTCTTCTTCTTCTTATTATTATTTCACTCATCGCCCCCCATTGCGCAACGCCCGCGTGATGAGGCGCTGCCGGGGGAGAGTTTCTGCATTCTTGTACGGGGTCCCCCCCCCCCGCTCTGCTCGCAGAGTGTCGCATGCACCGCCCTCCCGCTCGACACCGCGATCCTTGACGAAAGGAGTGGGTCCGCGTTTCCGAGGCCACGGTCCATAGTAGAAGATAGTGGATCCGCGCCTAGAGCTGCCAAGACGGACCAGGCAGTCAAGGCCGCCAAGATGGCCCAAGATGCCTCGAAGACGGTCTAAAATGGCCCCAAGGCGGCCCAAGGTGGCCTCAAGATGGCTCAAGATGCCTCCAAGAGGGCTTCAGAGGGCCACAAGAGGACCTCCAACACACATGTTCGCAGTCTCGCCGTTTCGGGCCTCCGTCAGCTCAAGGCGGCCCGAGAAGCCTCCAAGATGGCCCCAACAGACCCCCAAGAGGGTCCCAAGATGGTCCAAGAGGACCTCGTAATGGCCCAAGAGGCATCCGAGACGGCCGCCAGAAGCATGGGGTCCATCCTCCTCCTGCCCGCTTCTCTTGTCCGGGCAACTGTTGTCGATGTGAAAGAATCAAGACTGTGACCCTCTCTCCTCAAAACTTAAGCCTCCTGTCAACCTTCCACGAACCCTCGAACCTCAAACCTCTTGCCTTCCTTCCTCGTCCTTCCTCGAATCCTGGTACATCCTGTCCACGTTCCTCGTGGTAGCGGCGCGCGCATGGGGGTACGGGGGAGGGGGGCAGGCTTCTTAGAAGAAGGCTGCTTCTTAGAAGGCGCGGGCCTTACATCTACAGACAAGGCCCGCGCCTTCTACGACGCAGCCTCCTGCTCAGAAGCCCTTCCCCCTCACCCCCATCCCCCCTTCTGCGCGCGGCTGATCGCTCTCGCTCCTCGAGTCCGCGATCCTCGAACCTCCTGTCCTGGCTCCTCGAGCCCTCGAGACTCCCCCGCCCCGCCCACCCTGCTGATTTTGGCCCCCTCCCCGAAGGCTTAGGGGTCCTTGCACTGCCAAGCATGCAGGTGCCTGACTCGGAGTGGTGCCCTCGCCTCGGTGCTGGCCCGCAGGCTGTTTCGGGTCGGGCGAAAGGGGGGGATAGCAAAGGGGGGGGTTGAGAATCAGCTCACGGAGCTGATTTTCCCGGCGCCTCCCGGCGCCGGAGGCGGCTATGTATCGAGGAATGGGCCCCTCGGTGAGGCCGAAACCAGCTGCATGCAGCAAATTTCGTACCCCCCCCCCTTTCCCAATCCCCCCTTTCGTCCGGCCCGAGCTGTTGTGGATGGGCTCATCCCGCCCAGGGCGGCCAGGACCCGGCGGGGGCGGCCGCGGCGGCGGCCCCTCGCCGGCAGAGGAGACGCCACGCGGCCGCGGGCCCCCACGCGGCATGGCCTCCGCGCTCGGCCTCCGAGCGGCTCCCCCGGGAGCTCGCCGAGCCCGCCACCGCTGGGCTCTGTGCTTCGCTCGACGCGCGCCTCCTACCGGGGATCGACCTGGGCAGCGTTTCTCGTCGTCGTTGTGTGCTCGTTTTCCCTCGTTGTGTCTTCGATCCGCCCTCGCTGCAAAACGAGCGACATCGAAACGAAAGCGGCCCACGACATCGCCAGACTACACTTTGGGTCGACCCCTGCCTCGTACCATCCTTTTCCCGACAGCTCGCCCGGGCATCGCCTCTGGATGGGGGTTGCCGGGGATCCGCGAGGCCTCGAGAACTGGCTGCGCAATGCCAGGATACTTTCCACACGCAGCCCCCAGAAGCCACGACCTTTTTTCTCTAGGGCCAGTCATGCATCCCGAGCCGCTATTTGACGGCCCCGAGGCTCGGCGAGGGCCCTGGAGGCCGAAAACGGACAAGAACCTCTCGTTGCATTCTTCCCCGAGGCCGAGACGGACAAGAGACCTCCGTTGAATTTTTGTCCCGATAAGGGGGCCACATGCGAACCCTACCCCTGCCCCCCACGATTTCTGAGGGGGAGGGTGGGGCTCACTTCGTTCGGGAGCTCCCGAGCGAAGTGGTTCGCACGTGGCCCCCTACCCGAGCCTTCCCGAGTCGCTGTTTGATGGCCCCGAGGCTCGGCGAGGGCCCTGGAGGCCGAAAACGGACAAGAGCCTTCCGTTGCATCCTTCCCCGAGGCCGACAACGGACAAGAGCCCTCCGCTGCATTGTTGCCCCGAGCCTTCTCGATGGTCTCCACGATCTTGACCTTTGACGAACGATCAACACGCACCCATACCCATAGGGGAGACGGAATGAGCTATCGGTGCGTGTTGTCGGATCGGGGTCCCCGCTCGAACGCGAGCCTCCTCAGGGGTCCGACAACCCGCACCCATACCCATAGCCAGTCCTTCTCCCTCCGACCTCCCTATGGGTATGGGTGTGTGTTGCTCGTTCGTCAGACCTTGGAGGAGGAGGAGGGAGGAGGAGGAGGAGGAGGAGGAAGGGGAGGGGGAGGAGGAGGAGGACCTTGGGGATCGCGAAGAGCTCCGTCCAGCCCCGCTTCGTGCCGCGGTCGTCCAGGCCGTAGCCCACGAGCCACAGGTCGGGCAGGCAAGGCACGCCCGTGATGTCCGCGTCCGGGTAGTCGCGCGGCCGCTCCTGGCCGCGCAGGCACGCTCGCTCGGCTGCGCGTTTTTTTTTTGTTTTTTTTTCGGGGAGGAGGGGCCCTGGAAACGATTATTTTGGGTGAGTTTTTCGGGGGGAGGAGGGGGAGGGGGGGGAGGAGGGGGAGGAGGAGTTTTTTTTTGCAGGGGAGGAGTTTGTTTTGGGGGGCCCTTGCTTGGCTTCGAGTTTTTTTTGGGGGGGGGGAGGGGGAGGAGGAGCTTTTTGGGGAGGAGGGGCCGTGTATGTATACCCGCTCCGTTTTGCCGTTTTCCTGCCGGTTCCGACGCCGTTCTGCTACTGGTTCCGTCGCCGTCGTTTTACCGCTTCTGGCTCCAGTTCCATCCTGGAGCAGTTTTTTCCCCTTTCGGGTCGTCGTTTTTGTTGCCGTTTCCATGTTCAAGAGACTGTTTCGGAAACGGTGGAAAAAACGGCCCTGCCGTTTCCAGGGCCCACTCAGGGTGCGACCACAGAGCTTCACCGATTCGGCTTCGACCGCTGTGCGACTCTAAAGGTCGCAGGGCAAGCCGGGAGCACCACACGAGCCGCCCTGCGATGGGCAAATCCTCCTCCTTCTCCTCCATTACATTTCCTTACAGATCCTCCGATCATGTCGGTGTGTGTGTGTGGGTGTGTGAAAGGCTTCGCCGTTTGAGTCGTCGACGTCGCCGCTCCCCCTCAGGCGTTCCAGCCAAATGGAAATCGAGCAACGTCGTAATCGAGTCAAAGAGAAGCCCCTTCAGTTTGATCTTCCGCGCCAGGGGGGGGGTAGGTGGGGAGGTGGTCCTGGGGGGGGTCATGGGGGGGTCTGGGGGGGTACGACCCCCCCCTTGGGCCGGAGCAACCCTCCCTTGGAGAAGTTCTTGGGCTCCATATCGTGAGCGTTGTCGTCGTCATACCCGTCGCCGTTTTCACCCCTCAGGGTCGGCGGCGCCGGCGGTACGGCCTTCGCAATAACTCCTCCCTGTCTCGGGGAGGACTAAAGGTGGGGTTCTGGGCCACGTGGGGCTAGCCGAAAAAATTGCCTTGGACTCGCTTATGAAAAGCTGGCTGCCGCGTGCCTGAGCATCCTGAACTACGCAATGTGCAATTCGTTATACACCCGAACACTCACGTCGCGTGCGTTCGGGGACCTCCCTGGGTTTCTGGGGGCCCTCTTGGGGCTCTTGTGAAGGTGTAGTGGGTCCCTATTGGGGCTCTTTGGAAGGATCTTCGTCCACCGTTGGGGCCCTCGCGGGGCTCTCTCAGAGCCCTACAAACGGCCGTGGAGGGGCTCTTGGAGCCGTCTGGGGCACATTGTGCACCCATCTCCGCGGGGCCGTCGGGGCCTGGAGACCGGCCCCACGGCAACGCGCGCGCCGGATTCCCTCCCGACGACAGAATGTCGTTCTCGACGGTCGAAACGGGTTGTTGTCGGTAGAAACTGAAATTTCGACGGGTCGGCGGGCGTGGTTTCCGTTGTGTTTTCCCAATGCAGGAGCCCTGCAACAACGCCGTTGTTGTAGGGCGAAACTGAGATCCTGACGGTTCGCCCCAGGGCACCCGTCGGAAACGCGCCCCGCGGAACCCCCAGGGAGGCCCCGCCGAGGCCCTGCGGGGGCCCCGGGGCACTGCCCCCGCCCGCCCGCAACAACAGTCGCCCACCCTCGGTGGCGCAGGAGAAACAATCGAAGCCAAGCTCCCTCTCAAGGAAACCCGCAGACCTCACGCAGTCGCCCAAAGAGCAAGGATGACCTTGGTATCTTGTTTTTGTGACGCGCTCGCTACACCGCTGCTGCTCTATGCGCAATGCAATTGGGGGCGATTCACTTGGCCCGTGCCAGATTGCAGATTGCAGCGCTTGACAGACATACACACTCAAAGACAATTTTTCGTCCCTGGGATTTGCGCCCCAGCCCGGCCTTGGCTGAGACCCGGCCGTTTTTTCCATCCCGACTGTCGCGCCCGAAGCAGCTCCAAGGATGTAGGGCGGGCTGTTTTGAAAGTGTGACTCTCGCCCCAGCGCCGCGCACATTCGCTTTAAACAAGTGAAGCAGGTTCACGGATGGAGAGTGGTTCCTTTGTAACATGTGTCTCTCGTCTTAGGGGCGCGCGCACTCGTCTTCAAAGCTTGCGCAAACTTCAAACATGGACGGCGTTTCTTTCAAACTGTGTGTCTCGCCTTAGCGCCGCGCCCAGTTGTCGTTTCGTCTTCAACCCTCGCAATCGTTTCCAGGATTCGCAGGGTTGAAGCCCCAAGGAACGGTGTTCTGGGATGGTTTCGGATTAACATCCGCCGCTCTGCGGTTGATCGGGAGTTTCTGTATATATAGAAGAAGGGGCGCGCGCTTCTGGGCGAGAGGGAAACGACCGAGAGAAGAAGGGGCGGCCGCCCCACAGGACCTCTCCATGGTGCCGGAAGCCCATCAGGGCTCCCTCAGGGCCCCTCCCCCAGGGCCGGGGCTCCCTCGCCTGCCCCCTCCCCCTCCTCCTCCTCCTCCTCCTCCTCCTCCTCCTCCTCCTCCTCCTCCTTCGCCCCCGTCGGCATATCCAGGCGTGTTATGCAGTCAGGTCGTCCGTCCGGAAACGGTGTCGGAGGCCGCTCTGGGCTCCTCTGGGCATCCCCCCCGGGGCCCGTTTTGTGAGGATGTCTCAGGCGAGGGCGCCGGTTTGGGATTCGACCCTCGCAATCGTTTCCAGGATTCGCAGGGTTGAAGCCCCAAGGAACGGTGTTCTGGGATGGTTTCGGATTATCAGGACACAGCAGCCACGTTGATTGAAGTTCCAGGAGCTGTGTTCTGGCATGGTTTAAGAACCACGTTGGCTTGCGGCGCTGATGTTACACGATCGGTGTTTCGGCACGGTTGAAGATAATCAGCAGGTTGTTTTCCGATGGGGCATTTCCTAAGGACAAAATTCTTGCAAGGCCCCTTGAAGAGGGAACTTGGAGGGAGGGTTTATTACAACATTGTTAATGAGTCTTGGGTTTATGCTGGTCCTCCTCCTTCTCCACCTTATCTTCTTCCTCGGAGTCGGCTGTGTGACTTTGTTCGTTCTGGTGCAGTGCGACTCAAGGCTGCGTCAAAGGTTCGGCGCCTCACGCGCCTCACGCCGTGGTTACGCCTTCCCAGGCGCTTGAACCAAAAAAACTACGATGATACAGAATCCAGGAAACTCGTTTCGTGCGTCACCCCCTGCGGCTAGCACGGGCCAAGCCCACGAGACCGCGCAGGCTGCTCGTCTGACTTCTCGCCTGCACACGGGGGAATACCCTCGGCGTCGGCCAACGCTCGGAGAACGAGAGAGGGAAACGAGAGAAGCACAACTTGCATGACCACACGCACACAAACTGTTTGGCGGTGCGGCCTCGCGCCCAGATGCTCAGCGGAGTCTGGCTAGAGCTGAAGAGGAGTCGGGCTGCAGCCGAATTAGTGAGGCATCAACACACTGACACACACAAGCATACACAAACATGCGCGCACACACATGCACTCTCTCTCACACACACACGGACACACGCACTCTCACACACGCACGGGCGCAAGCCCGCACGCGCACACACGCGCGCAAGCGCACGCGCACGCGCACGCGCACGCGCACGCACACGCGCACTCACACGCACACGCGCACGCACACGCACACGCACGCGCACACGTACACGCACACGCACATGCACATACACACACGCACGCGCAAGCACACGCACACGCACACGCACGCGCACATGCACACACAACACACACACACACACCACGCACACGCACACGCACATGCACACGCGCACCCACACGCACACGCACACCGTCCCCCTCCCCCCCCCCACACCCCACCCAACCACTCACTCACCCCCCCCTCCAACACACACACACACCCACCCACCCACCCACCCACCCACCCACCCACCCCCACCCCCAAACCCACACTCAAACCCACGACCACCCCCACACCCACGACCACCCCCACACCCACACCCACACCCACACACACACAGACACCCACACGCACACACACACACGCACACACATACACACATACACACATACACACACACGAACACACAGACACACACACACACAGACACACAAACACACAGAGGCACACACAGACACACAGCCACAAACAAGCAATCACGCACACCAACAAACAAACAAACACTTTCTGAGGTCCGCGTGGGTTTCTTGGATCGGCGCTAGACCCCCCTTCTTCCTGGTGCGCGGAGCGCGCCAGGGGCCGCGCCGGAGGCGCCGCCAAGGAGGGGGGTCCAGCGCCGATCCAAAACATCCGCTCGGACCTCCGAACGTCGTCCTCTTCCAGGGAGCGCGAGGGTTTCTAGCCCCTCTGGGGGTGAGATGAAACCCGCGCGTTCCTCCAGAGCGCTTGCTCAGGCATCGCAAAGGTGATGATGCAGATGGCCCAAGATTTCTGCTAGCGCCCCTGCGTTCTACGGCTGCTGCTCGGTGCTCTCGCTCCTTGCTGAACAAACAGACGGTCAGGAAGTCGTTCTCCGAGTGGGTGGCCGCCAGCTTGTTCATGAAGTACAGCTTGATCTCCTGCATCGTCTTGCCGTTGTCCAGGAGCTCGTCAAGCAGCACCACCTCGCCAGAGGCAAAAGCTCAGTCGGCTCAGCAGGCCCGCCCCCTCCGGGAGGAAGCTCCTGGAGCCGGGGCAGGCGAGCCGACCCCGACCTTCACGCCCGAGCCTTGCTCCTCTCGTGCGTCGTGGAATCGCAGAACTTCTCCGCGCTGATGTCGTTGATGTCGACACCGCCTCCCTGCGTCCGGCCCGCCTTGTAGGACGAGGCCTCCACGAAGAACACCGAGTACGGTCTGGTGAGCGTCCGGCACAGGTCCGAGAGGAACATGAAGGCGCCCTTGAGGATGGCCACCAACACGATCCGCTCGCCCTTGCACCAGGTCTCTATGCGGCGCGAGACGATCCGCACGCCGGCGTCGATCTCCTCCTTCGTCATGACCAGGCGGTACGACCTCAAGTAGGAGAGCCCATAATCGAATCGATACGTCGGACCGGCGATCGAAATGAATCGGATCGGCGGAAATCGGCAGCCGTGTCGGGAAAAGTCGAATCGGTGGACGTCGGCAGGCCAGTGGGCCTCCATTGAGAAGTCGGATCCCAAATCGGAATCCGAAGCCGAATCGAATCGGCATCGGAATCCGTCGAGATCGAGCCGCATCGTGTCGGAGGAATCGAAACGAGCCCCGCCTCAGGTCCTGGAAGTACTTGGAGCCCGCCAAGGGCGGCTGCATGTTGCGGTCCCGGAGGGGCGCGATGAACTTCTGTGCCCGGGCCTTCGTCGCCTCCAGGATGAGCTGCTCCTCCTGCGGCAGGCTGGGAAGCTCGCCCCCCGCCTTGAGCAGGGGCCGACCGCCCCGGCATTCCTACAGGCCTACCACGACATGTTCTCAGAACCCCCAAAAGAAGCCCAGAACAAGACCAGTGCTCTTGGAACATCAGCCCGACGTGCTGAAACAAGACCGTCCCGGCCAGACATGTTCTGAGAACCTTTCGTGGCAACCACGAGAGGTTCTTGGAACATTGTTCGGTAGGCCTTTTTTTAGGTAGGCCTACAGGCACGCCGGGCCGCCTCGCCACTGACTGACAGCCAGGCCCGCTGCCGCCCCACCGGCTCCGCCGCGCCTCTCGCGCCCCCCCCCAGCAGGAGCACGCGGTGCCCGCCTGCCCTCGCGCGCCCCCCCGAGGCTGTGGAGGGACGCGGGAGGGGGGCGGGAAGAAGGATGGCACGCGCTGCAGGCGAGTGGGCGCCTCGTCCTCTGCGCTCTCTCTCTCTCTCTCTCTCTCTCTCTCTCTATCTATCCATCTATCTATATATCTATCTATCTATCTATCTATCTATATATATATGTATGTATGTGTATATATATATATATATATATATATATATATATCGGGAAAAAGAAAAACGCCATGTAAACATAAACCTTTGGCGGTCCGCGCGGAGTGCGCTGTACCCCCCCCCCCTTCCTGGCGCGCGGAGCGCGCCAGGGGCGGCGCCTGAGGCGCCGCCAGGGGGGGGGGGGGCGCCGCGGATGCAAGAAAACCGCGCGGGGAGGCAGAAGTTTATGTTTATGGCGTTCTTTCTATGGAAGCTCCTGGGTGCCCAACCACCCGAAGCAAGGGGAAGGGGTTCGGTACGCTGCCGCAGCGCGCGGCGCGGAGGTGTGGGCGCAGGGCGCCGCGGAGGCGGCTCTCCGTCGCGCCCGTGGTGCACTGGAGGAGGAGGAGGAGGAGGAGGAGGAGGAGGAGGAGGAGGAGGAGGAGGAGGAGGAGGATGAGGAGGAGGAGGAGGAGGAGGAGGAGGAAAAGGAGGAAGGAGGGAGGAGGAGGAGGAGGAGGAGGAGGAGGAGGAGGAGAGGAGGAGGAGGAGGATGATGATGATGAGGAGGAGGAGGAGGAGGAGGGAGGAGGAGGAGGGAGGAGGAGGAGGAGGAGGAGGAGGAGACGGAGGAGGAGGAGGAGGAGGAGAAGAAGGAGGAGGATAAGACGGAGAAGGAGGAGGAGGAGGAGGAGGAGGAGGAGAAGGAGGAGGAGACGGAGGAGGACGAGGAGGAGGAAGAGGAGGAGGAGATGGAGGAGGAGGAGGAGGAGAAGACGGAGGAGGAGACGGAGGAGGTGGAGGAGGAGACGGAGGAGGAGGAGAAAGAGGAGGACGCAGGCCCTCTTCCCCCGCGAGCCGCGACGCCACCACGTCCCCGTGCTGCGGGGCGGGGATTAGGGGAACGAACAATGACATAAACATAACAACTCGGAGGTCCGCGCGGGTTCCTCGGACCCGAGAAACCGGCGCGGATCTCCGAGCTTTTATGTTTATGCCATTCTTCGTTTCCCTAGGGATGCATCCACATCCACCGCCCGGCGACGGTGGATCTGAATGCACTTTGGCTCCATGGGGGCCCGGATGTGTAGCAGTAACTCAGCCACCGCCTGCCGAGGTCCCCGAACATCGATCCTCCAGGCAGTGGTCATGGACAGCTCCCCGCCGACGAGGTGCTCGCTGAGATCGGGCGCTGCGACCAAAAAACCGCAGCGCCGCGAGAGATCAGGACAGGAGCCCTGGACCCGAGCTTTCTGCGGCGCTCCTGCTCGAGCCGGATCGGTCCGGGATGGTCCCGGAGCACGAGCAGGAGCCCGCGGGGAGGCGGGTGGTCCGTCTGCCCCAGTGAGGCGCCGGGCCGACATCCCCGGGCGAAGTGTGAGAAGGCGGAGCAGCAGTGCGAGACGAGGCGTCTGCCGCGGCGCGGCGTGACGGACGTCGAGCGTCAGACGCCCGGCCGGGGGCGCGGCCGGCAGCAACGTCGGCAGGGAGAAGGAGGCAGAGCGGGGCAACGGGAGACCGAAAGCTCAAAAGCACGACAAGTCGATCCACCGTCTCCGCGGAAAACGGCCAGTGTGGGTGTGGAAACATTGCGGCGCCCGGGTCGCAGGGCTGGAGAACGGGTGCGGGCCTCGGGAGCGCGGGGCGCCCATCCTGCGCCCTGGAGTGCTCCACGTCGATCAGCTTGCGGAACGTGCTCTTGACCTCGGGGGGGGGGCTGCTGCGGGCCCACGCCGCGCTGGCGTGGGCGCTGCTTCCGGAAGCCGCGCGGATCGCTCCGCCTCGAGCGATCACACCTCTCGAGCAGCGCAGATCGGCCGGACTCGCGACGACGTGCTGGTCAGAACGCACCCCGAGGCACGTCCGGCCCACTGAGACCGTAGGGGTGGCTCCTCCCCGTGGGCCACGAAGCGCGCGATGGGTGTGCCTACTTTGGGGGCGGGTGCCCCAGACGCCGGCACCCACTGAGACCGTCGGTGGAGCTCCCTATGGGGCCACGAGGCGTGTGAGGGGTGCGTGTGTGTGTGTGTGCCTAACTTGGGGGCGGGGGCGCCGTGTGCTGGCACCCTCTGACACAGTAGGTGGAGCTCCCTATGGGGCCAGGAAGCGTGTGAGGGGTGTGCCTAATTTGGGGGCGGGGGCGCCATGCGCGGGCACCCTCTGACACTGTAGGTGGAGCTCCTTATGGGGCCACGAAGCGTGTAAGGTGTGTGCCGGATTCGGGGCGGGTGCGCCAGACGCCTGCTCCCGCTGAAACCGTAGATGGCGTCCCCTATGGGGCCACGAAGAGTGTGAGGGATGTGTGCCAAAGGAGGGACGGGTACATCATATGCCGGCGCCCGCTGAGACCGCAGGTGGATCTCCCAGCTCCCTACGGGGCCACGGTCCTCGAGACGGGTGTGCCGAAATGGAGGGGGGAGGGAGGATGAGGGAGGCAGGGTGGAGGCGGTAGTGAGGACGCGAGGACGCTGCGGATTCAAAATGGGGGCTCAACTCAACACAGCAGGGTTGGCAAAAATATCAGAAAGGTGGGGCTAAATTTCCTGACCGCTCAAGGTTGCCGCAGACTTCGCATGGCCCATAAGGCCGCCACTACACGGCCAAGAGGGCCCGAGAGGTCTCGAAGACGGCCCGAAGAGGCCCCGAAGAAAGCATCAAGATCTCACGACGGCTGAAGGCGGCAATCAGATGCCTCTGTGATGGCCCAGGGAGCAATACGCCCACCCGGGAGAAACGACAGCAAAAACATAACAGGACACACTACATTGTGTTTTCACTTTTTTGCGTGTCCCATGTGCTGCTCCCAAGATGCCCCAAACACGTCAAGACAGCCCCCAAACCCATGGTATTACCGGATACGGCCCCAAGGTGGCCCCACTATGTCACGAACACCGCCCAGGATGGCCCAGGCCCAAGACGTCCCCACGATGGCACCCCGATGGCCCCAAGAGGCCCAAGTGGGTCACAATAGCTCCAAGTTAGTTGGCGGCAGAGGGTGCAGTCTTCCAGATAATCGGATGAGGACGAGGACTTGCCCGAGGAGGAGGAGGCGAAAGAAGAGCAGGAGCAGGAAGGAGAGAAGGAAGAGGATAGGTACAAGGAGGAAAACGATTACGAGGGGGAGGACCAGGAGGAGGAGGACGACGAAGAGGAGAAACACGAGGACGGATGATGAGGATGAGCTCCCACCCATTTGGTTCGCCCCGAGTCCCTCGCATTGTCTTGGAACCTCGGGGGACTATATGCGCGCTTCTGGACTAATCCCTCTACGGCAAGTCCACATCTCGATGAAGTCGGCGTCGACCTCTGACACCGCGTGCGTGGCTTTCAGGTAGCGCAGGCGGCGCAGATCGTTCGATATCGACCGATTCTGGGCCGCCGCCGGCGTTCAATCTTTCGCCCGTGCTGGGGTCGCCACCATACCTGTCGGTCGGAGGGAGCGGGTAGGGAGCTGAAGGTGAGGGGGAGGAGGAGGAGGGGGAGGGGGAGGAAGAGGGGGAGGAGGAGGAGGAGGAGGAGGAGGACGAGGAGGAGGAGGAGGAGGAGGAGGAGGAGGAGGAGGAGGAGGAGGAGGAGGACGAGCGGGAGAGCGCTGAAGGTGGACTGGGCTCCTGCCCGCCCCCTGAAGAGGAGGGAAGAATGCATGCCGCTCGACGCTTGGAGCAGGAGGGCGCCTAGAGCAGACTGCGCCCTGGGCGCCCAATAGCTCCTCCTCCTCCTCCTCCTCCTCCTCCTCCCACTTTCAGCGACCGACGGGCACGTATGGGGGGAGACGCAACCCTGCCGTGCTTCGCCTGCTCCGCTGGGAGCACCGTGCGCCAGGAGCAAATGGCGACGCAGCCGGGCCCGCTGCACGGAAGCCTGACCACCGATCGCGGATCCGCGCCCGGACCCACTGCCGGGGGAGGAGAAGGACGAAGACTACGACCAGAAGGAGTACGAGGAGGAGGAGGAGGAGGAGGAGGAGGAGGAGGAGGAGGAGGAGGCGTGCCGCCAGCCCAGTGGAGAAGGAAAGGATCGCGAAGGGAATGCAAAGGCGGGAGTCGTCATTGGGCACTGGCGCGCTTCGGCGGTGCCTCGGATGGGCGACCGACGGGCGCCCAAGAGCCTCGCAGCGTCTCAGCGGCACCAGGAGGAGGGCCAGGAGGACAAGGCCGATCCGCAAGCTGAGCTCCATCCCGATCGCGCCCCTGGTCTCCTCTTCCTCCTCCTCCTCCTCCTCCTCCTCCTCCTCATCCACCTCGTGGGGGAAGAGGGGGTGGAGGAAGACCAGTGTAACCCCAAGACCCATCAGCGATATTGCAATACACCCTCCCTCCAAACTCCCAGTGAAGGAACTGTCCCGTTGGAAGAGAACCGCTTGAACAAATCATGAACCGTGCCAATGCACCATTCCTGGGACTTCAGTGCAGCGAATCAACGCTACTGCTGCGCCCTGACGATCCTGAATCGAGCCCTCGTTCCCTGGGACTTGAACTGAACACCGCGAATCAACGTGGCTGTTGCGCCCTGACAGTCCTACAGCATGCCACAACACCATTTTTGGCACGTCAGCCATAAGAACAATTGCAACTGGTATAAAGTCTTAGGACGAGTGCACGCGACGCCAAGGCGAGAGCCACACTTTGAAAAGGAGCCGCCCTGCATGGGCGGCTCCTTGAAAAGGAGCCGCCCATGAACCTGCTGCAAACGTTTAAAACAAATGTGCGCGGCGCTGGAGCGAAAACCACATTTTGAAAAGGACCCGCTCTCAATCCGTGAAGCTCTTGCAACATGGTCAGAACGAACGTGAACGGCACTACAGCGATACCCATTCCCAAATAATGACCGTCCTCCATCCGTGAAGCTGTTGGGAACTTTAAAGCGGATGTGCCCGGCGCCGAAGCAAGAACCAAAGTTTGAAAAAGGAACCACCCTCTATCCGTGAAGCTTTCCGGCGTGTAAGCCTCAGTGTCATAAGCGGTGAGGATGTCTCAAGCGAAACGCCTGGCCCGCCCTACGGACACGTTTCGGGGTGCGCCAGTGAAGATTCGTTAGAGGAGGAGGAGGAGGAGGAGGAGGAGGAGGAGGAGGAGGAGGAGGAGGACAGAGGAAGAGGAGGAAAAGGAGGAGGAGGAGGAGGAGGAGGAGGAGAACGGGAAGGAAGAAGAGGATCACGATGAGGAGGACCTCCCTGGCGCATGCCGATCCGCAACCTGGCTCACATAATTTGATCCCGATAACGGTCGGCGGCTCAATCGGACCCCTGTGCCCCGGAACAGGGGAATACAGGATCTGCTGCGGCGGAGGAAGAGGACGCGGTGGAGGATGAGGAGGGGCAGGAAGAGGACTCGGGTGCGGAGGAGGGGGAGGAAGAGGAGGAGAAGGAGGAGAAGGAGGAGGGGGAGGAGGAGGAGGAGGAGGAGGAGGAGGATGAGGAGGATGATGATGAGGAGGATGCGGAGGAGGAGATGACCAGTGTAAGTCCAAGACTCCCTCTTCATCAGCTCCTACGAGAGGTCATTTCCACTGAAGGAAGTGTGCCGTTGGGGGACAATCGTGTGAACATCTTGATGCGTGCCAAAACACCGTTTCCAGGATTTCAACGCAACGAATCAACATGAGTGTTGCGTCTTGACGATCCTAAACCATGTCAGATCACCGTTTCTGAGAATTCAACACCGCGAATCAACATAATTGCTGCGACTTGATAGCCCTGAACCGCTCCAAATCACCACTTCTGGCATGTTAGCCATGGGAGCCCGTGAAACTCTTGCGATTTCTTCAAACGGCTGTGCACGCTGCTCAATTGACAACCGCATTTTGGAAAAAGGGCAGCCCTCAATCCGCGAAGCCCGTGCAACTTTTTCAACGTAAGTGCGCGGCGTTGAAGCGAGAACCACACTTCGAACAACAACGCCCTCACTCCGCGAAGCTCTTGCAATTTCTTGCAGCGGAGGTGTGCGGCGGTAAAGCGAAAACCGCGATTTGAAAACCAACCGCCATCAATCCGTGAAGCTTTTTCACATTGTTCAGACGAGCGCATGCGGCACCAAAACGAAAACACACGTATCGAAAACGACCCGCTCTCCATCCGTGAAGCTCCTGTAAACGTTGAAGACGAACGTGCGCGGCGCGAAGGCGAGAGCCACATTTGAGAAGCGGCCCGCCCTCCATCGGTGAAGCTGTCGTCGGTTTTTAACTTCAGGCTCGAAATTAAGTGATTTGGGAGCCTCAACAACATGCCCAGCCCGCCCTTCCGACTGGCCTCAGATTGTGACAAGGAGGAATTACGGTGGGGTATTTGTTTTGCTCTTCGAGGGCCGGAGCCCGCGCATGCGTAAACTCGCGACCGCGCAAACAGTGCTTGCACAGCCCGCAGGCGGGGCCCCCAGCCCACAAGGCGGCGATTACCTCCGCGCCCACCGTTGGCCTGGGGCCCACCGCCTGCGTTCTCACTGTCGCCGCGCGCGCCAGCCGCCCGCGCGACGTGCAACGGCTCCGTCGTGGCCTCGTCCTCGTGCTCGCCGCGCACGGTGGACTCGGCATCGGAGCTGGCGAGCTGGTCCCGGGCGCACCAGGCCTCGGGGGGTGGGGCCACCTTGCCAGGCGAGCCAACCACATCGCTGCCACCCGTCGGCGGATCCACCGCAGGCGCTGAGGCTCCATGGCGCGCACCAGCTCCTGCTTCGCTGACTTAAGCTCCTTGTCGCACTCCTGCGCGC